TCAAGTTTTGGAGGACGACGTCAGCAATATCAAGCGTGTGCATCAGGACTTCAGGACGTCGCAGCAAGCAACGAACTTGCAGTTGGAGACGCAGGTCCAGGCTGCTGCCACTGTGACGCCCGCCGCCGGATCCTCCAGGCGCCCACCCAAGCTAGATGACATTCCAGTCTTCTGCGATCAGTCCAAGACGGAACCGATCCTGTGGTGGCGCCAGTTTACTCTTGTCTCGACATGCACCATGTCCCGAACAACGATCGACATCCGTGCTTGTACCACCGATCTGGTGGTGCGTGTCAAGCATGGCTGGACAACATCTTGACCAGCCACGGCGTAGCAGTGTCGGAACTRCACACCAAGCTCACTTGGCAGGAGTTGACTGACGCCTGGCACAAGCGATTCCAAGTGGAGCCGCCCGACCTGCAAGCGATGGACAAGCTCAACAAGCTCCATCAGAACACGCTGCTCAGTCAGGACTGGATTACCGAGTTCCAAAGACTCGCCTCCACACCTAACCTGCTGCTCGCCTTCCGCGCCATCAAGCACTTGTTTATCATGCGCTCGTGTCCAGCTCTGCAAAACGCGCTGACACAGATTGCGGAGACACTCGACACATCTGATAAGCTTTTCAGCACAGCGTCACGGATCATTCTCACGAATATCGAAGCCCGCAACGCCGGCCGATCTTCCGCGACGACGAGCGACACCCAGCCCAAGCCAAAGGTGGCTTGCATTACTTCTACCGAGGCTGCAACACCAAACGAGGGTGAAGTGTTGGCAGTTGCCCGGGATGGTGGCCGGCCGCGCAACAACCACGGCCGCGACAAGACGAAGACTCAGTTCACCTCTACACCGAGCACAGGATCAGCAGCCGATGAACCTTGGGGGCAATACGGACTCTCGGCGAATTCCTATCGCACGCGACTCAAGTACCGTTATTGCCTTTGGTGCAACAGCACCATCCACGATGCTGCACATTGCCCCACCAAGGGGAAACCCCGTCCGGGAAAGTAGGCGCCGTCGAGGGTGACTCGACACCTCCCTCGACGCCATCGGAAGCGGTTGTGGCCACGACCGCCCTTTCTTCCGAGGCATATGCGGATGTCGGGAGTCTTCCACTTTCGTTCGAAGACTTCGCTGCCCGGCTTGTTCCTTCACTGGATGCTTCTCAAGGACAAGATACATGTGTGGCTTTCTCACTATCCGAAGGTTCTTCCGCCAGTTGGTCTTCATCAGGGGATTCGGCAAGCGTGTTCAACGAGGAGGCTTTGGACCCGCTCACGCCCGAGGACTTCGCTTGGATTCCTCTCCCTACGACGGACCTTTCGGGGCCGCAAAGCGCAGCCCTATGCGCCCTCTTACACCAGTATCTTTCCTTCCATGCACCACCAACTTCGCCGACGGTAGACGAAGTCGCGGTGGGGGACATGCTTGGCTATGTTGCCAAGGTGGCCCGCGAGTTTGTCTCGCAACGGTACGAAGAAAACAACGCAC